GGATTTAACAGGAAGCCAATGAAGGGAAGCCAAAACAGGAGAAATATGCTCTCTCTTTCTAGTCCCTGTCAGTACTTTTACTGCAGCATTTTGGATTAGCTGAAGGCTTTCAGGGAGTTTTTAGGACATCTTGATAATAAAAAATTACAGTAGTCCAGCCTGGAAGTAATAAATGCATGAAGTTTTTCAGCGTCACTCTGAGACAGGATATTTCTAATTTTAGAGATGTTGTGCAAATGGAAGAAAGCAGTCTTACATATTTGTTTAGTAATAAAAAAAATCCTGTTTTGACTGTTGTCCCTGTTGTGTACCTGCTGTTAATTTAATTAACATCAAAGCAGCTGAAACTAATTAATAAAAGCTTCTGTTACTTAACTGACCAGATGAATACTCTGATTACAGAGTGTACCTTTAATTTTTGGAGCAGTGTACAACATGTAATGCATATCGAATAAATATAATATATAGATTTAATTGTACATGGGAGACTTGCCACTACTGACTATTCACCACTACATATAATATAGAAAAATTAGTCATTCATTTAATGTACTTTGTGTTGCAGATGAAGTTTTAGTGCAGTGGATGCAGAGAGAGCAGAGAGTTGAAGACTCATTACGAGCTCAGGTGCCAACGAAAGGATTCAGACTCACCTCATGTTTACTTTAGCCTGTACAGTGCTTACTTTACTGTCTATGTTGTTCCTTACAAAAAATCAGTGAATGTAAAATCTGGTGGGCGTGTACACTTCAGTGACTAATGTCTTTCCAGATTTGATTGCAAAAGGCAGCTTTCCACAAAGGTGTAAACAATCCACTGTTTACTGTTGCTCATAGCTCGAGTGATAAAGATCCTGAACGTAATGCCTTCTTTAATGATAATAAAACCAGTTATGTTAAACCACAATGGTGGATAAAGAATCTGAACAGACAACAACTGATAACAATGAAATATGAAAATAATTTAGGCGTGTAGAGTATAACTTACAAATGTATCTCTCCGAGGTAGAAGCCCAATTGACCTTTTTAAGAACACAGAGTGTCTTAATTAGCTTCACTGTATTTATAGATAATCCCCTGCTGTGCATCAAACCTGGAATTATTATGAAAATGATTGTGTAAACAAACAAATGTTATTTTCATTCCTGTAGCAGTTACAAAGAGCATGTGAAATATGTGTATCGCAGTGCAGCGTATCAGCGGCCACCATGGTTCACACAGAGACTTTTGGAAGAATAAATAATTCATAAGAAGAATAAATTAATTTTTCCTCTGATGACAGAAATGTTAAAACACACAATTGTGAAATCAAATCCAGTCACAAGTTCTGCTTCTGTAGCTTTATTTGCCTAGTGTGATGATTGATTATAAACACAGCAGTTAATATAAATGTAAACCAATGCTGGAAAAATTATATTACAAGTTATATCCCTGACTTTGTGCCTCGTGTTTATGATTATCTACAATTGCTGTGTTTTTTTTATTGTATTTTTTTTTTTTTGCATGAGACTTAAAGATGTGTTACAAATTTAGGCTGTGAGGTTTAAAAGTTGCTTGCATTTACCAGACAGCAAGGGTCTGATGAGAGAACTCCTGAAGATACGACACGATGGGAAATAAAGTATCTTGTAATATTTTGGGGGGACTTGCCCCATATTTGGACTGGATGTTAGAATATTTGGCATTTGGTGTTTACTCTTTTTCTTCAGCTGTGTTCGCACGAGCCTGCTGCCTAAATGCATTTTTAAAAATATATGTGTATTAAAATCAGTTCCAGACATTTCTTGCCACTTTAATTATTCTGTCTTATTGACCGAAGAGCTATTGCTGCAGTTGCGTTCCTTCCTGTGTGGTCTGTCACGACTGAGTAAAATTTGGCATTACAATCACATAAAAGTAAACTCAAACCAAGCATCATGTTACATGCATTTGAGATCTCTATGTCTGCTCCCTGTTAGACCCTACGACCTATCGCTTTTCAATAATTTACCCTGAATACACACAATTCAAAGTATTTATACAGACCTGCACAGCCTCAAGTTCACAACTTGAGCCTTGAACTACGACCTTCCATGCCGGGACTTTTCCCTGTAGTTTGATATGTCGCAGCATATGCCCAGCTAAATATAGCAGATCTGCCCTCTGTGTGGCAGATTGCTCAGCCTCTCACATGGTCAAACAAAACTCATCCTTTCATGAAGCAACATAAAGTGGCCTAAAGGTGGGAGGGAATAAAGGGATGATTCAGACGGGTTTAAGCGGGAGAGTCATGATCCTGTACGTCCATTTCAGTCTCAACTCATGACTCATAACTGTTTTCTTGTTGCTACTGAAAAACAAGCCTTTCAGACTGTTTTCATATATTGCACAGCTATCTGCAGGGTAATGATGCTTTCCCTGGTCCCCAGGGAGAGACGAATTACACATACATGCTCCACATATAGAGAAACTAAAATCTGCAGTTTGCAATTTGGTTTGCAGTTATGCAGTGTTTTTTCTTCTTCTTCTTTCAAACCTGTCTCCTACTTGCAGGTGCAATTCATAGCAGTCCCTCTGATGTAACAGGCCCGCTGCCAAGTTTCAGCAGTTATTCTAATGCACTTAACAAATCACTTTTGGCAGTAATCTTGTTCTATTATCTCCCTTTACTTGAAAGAGAAATGCAGCGTGATTGTAGTGCAACCTCTTTGATGTCACACCAAAGCAAAACGCGAAAGGACGGGATGGAAAAAAAAAAGATAAAATGAGCGCGGGGATAAGGCGATTTGAAAAGCACTTTGTAAGATTATCAAGGGATCAAGACAGACTTTGTGACAGGAAAATGACGACCATAATATGTGCCGAAGAAAATTTCACACATGCACAATTAATTAAAATAGTTTCCATTTATATGTTTCATGTTGCCTCAAAAAGAGATTATGACTTCCATCTTTGTGAGCGTGCT